CTGCTAGTTTTTATTCTGAAATGTTTTCAAAAAAACTACTTGTAAGAACATTCATTAAAGTGGATAAAAATATGCATAGTCAAAAAAGAAAGACAGTCTATTTTCACTTCCCTTATATATTTTCACAGGTCTCCAGAAACATGTTCTAAATAAACACCTCTCTCCCAAAGAAGGAAGTAGAGTAAGATGATAAAAATGAAAAAAACACTACTTTGACTTTTTCAGGAAAAATATTATTCCCAAAATACTCCAGAACTTTTGCACTTTATCTTATTCAGTGTTCTCTACATAAGCACTGGTGACCAGTGAAAATCACTGTTTAATAGTCCTGGGCATTCCAGCTATTTTTGAAATAAATGATGAAAAAACTATGTTAAACCATTAAGTTAATAGAGGGGAATGGTTATGAAGGCCAGCAAACATCAAAGGAGCGAACAAAGATGTCAAGATTTACGTTGGACAGTCCACGACCTTGCACAATCTTTTGTTTTGCACTCAAATACTATGCATGAATTACATAACCAAAATGTTTCTATTGGTTAGTTCCTCAGTCAGAAGTAAACAATTATTGTGTTTTGTACACGGTCAAGGCAAAAAAAGTGAACAAAGACAAACAACAACGAACTTTGGCAGATTTAAAAAACCATTCTCCTCTATTAACTTTGATGTAACTTTGGAACAGATTTTAAGTTTTACAAGATTTTTTTATCTTTTATTACCTTTCAAGGCTGAAAATAAATAATATAAATGTAGATGAAAACCTGGGAACAGCAGCTCATACTTTGTGTGAAATTAAGTGAAATGTCTATCACTTATAATGCACAAGTTCTCATCATGACAACCAAAAGTTCACGATTGACCTAATAGTTAAGGTTACTAAATTGAACTTCTGAAGATATGATTATTTTGATGTTAATATGAGTATTAAATGCACAGACGTCTGATAAAAGTCAAAATAACATTTTTGCCCTTATTTCTTTTCGGTTTGGAGGTTCTGCAAATTCTCAGTGCTGCTTTCTACACAGCAATCTCTGTCTGCTTCAACTTCCATTCTACTTTTGGAAGGACCTTTCTATTAAATAAGTATTTGTTTATGCATGTATTGCAATGTCACACCACATCTTGCATTGAGTGTATATGTCA